AAATCCCTAATCGACTAATCTATAGTCCTGTACTCCAGCGCCACCTACTTCTAATTTAGAAGATCTAAATCACTGAGTCGCAAACTCGCAATAGTCAGAGAGCAAAGTCCGTTCATCTTCACCCATCCATCCGGCTTGGCACACCACCGGTACAAGTCCAAGGCAGCGGCGCACCACCATCTACTCCTCTCCATCATTCTACACCACCATCTTCTACTCCTCTATTGCGATGGTGACTGGTGAGCAGCCAAGAGGACGGCGGTCAGTCCCAATTCCATAGCTTGAAGGTAATTCTGATTCTCCGAAATCCGAATGAATACATATCTCAATACTTTGTGTATTTGTATTTGTGCTGAGGGCTGAGTTTTTTGCATCTCATTTATTCCAATGCAAATTTCATTAGTTTATGATACTCAGGAGGGGTGGCTGATGGATTAATCTAGCAACAGTGTAACTAATTATCTGATTTTCCAGAATAATTTTGTTGGTTGACATATATTATTTGTAAGAGATTATGCCCTCAGTTGCTTAACCCCATCCCCCCCCCCCCCCCCCCCCCGCACATTCTCTGTTGAATGCCTTTTGATTATTGCTGATATTTTTTGTTTAAGACCATGTTGTGATAAACTGATAATTGGTGTTAAAATGGTGCTCCTTACCAATATTTATGCTATCTGAGTAGATTATGGGGATAATCTGAGTTTGATACATATATTTGTATCTGGATATTTATATTTGTATTGATGCATCTTCATATAGACAATCTGAGTTCCATCAAATTGTAAATACATTTGGAGTGTATTATGAGATGCTGAGGGCTGAGTTTTTTGAGACACAGATTACATATATACAGATTGTAAATACATGTAAATACAGTTTTTTGCATTTATGATAGATGTCAAGCAGTGCTATTCCCACTTCCGGTGCTCGTGGCAAAAAGCGATGCATAATTTCTGAAGAAACAATAACAAGTTATGTTCTTGAACCTCAAGAAATTAATGAGGAAGCTGATTCTGAGCAGGTGGCGTATGTGCAAAAACAGCCAAAACCGGGCCGCAACTATGTGAAAAGAAAATCAAGAAACAAAGGCGAGTATTGGAAATACTTCTGGGATTATCTAGATGAAGATAACAAGATCAGAGCAGAATGCATCTATTGCGACAGCACATTTGCCACAAATACTAATGTCAATGGCACAACAAATTTGAAAAATCATGCAGCTAATTGCAAAAACAGCCCAGCTAATAGACACAAAGGAGGTAAGCAAGCCCACTTGATTGATAATTATGTTGTTCCTAATAACAGTGAGGGTAATGTTTTGGGTTTTAAGGAGGGTGTTAATTTGGAGGAAGTTAGAAAAGCATTAAATCACATGCTTATTATTGATGAGCTACCATTCAGATTTGTTGAAAAACTCGGGTTTAGGCCTTTTGTGAACATTGCATGTCCATTTTTTCATATACCCTCTCGCACAACCGTTGCACGTGATTGCTATAAGTTTTATCTTGAAGAAAAACTGAGGTTGAGGGAATGTTTTAGCAAATCATGCCAGAGAGTTTCTGTCACTACTGACACTTGGACATCAATCCAAAGAATAAATTATATGTGTCTTACTACCCACTTTATTGATGAGAATTGGATATTGAATAAAAGAATCTTGAATTTTTGTCCCATTTCTAGTCACAAAGGTGAGGCCATTGGGAGGGGTGTGGAAGATTGTTTGAATGCTTGGGGTTTAGATGATAAGTTGTATACCGTGACGGTTGATAATGCTAGTTCAAATGATGTTGTATGTTTGTTTTTGAAAAATATGGTGATGCAAAATGGCGCCATTAGCGATGGTAATTTTTTGCATGTGAGATGCATTGCACATATCATTAATCTCATAGTGTGGGATGGGTTGAAGGAGTACGTTCAATGTGTTGATAAGTTTAGGGCGGTTGTGAGATACATTAAAAAATCTCCCAATAGATTGATGGTTTTTAACCAACAAGTGGAGAAGTACAAGATTGATTGTAACTTATCCTTGTGTCTTGATTGCCCTGCCCGATGGAACTCCACATATGAAATGTTGCACACGGTTTTGCAATATAAGGTTGTTTTTGTGAGGGTTGACTTACCTAGGGAATTGGAAGATAGGGAAACTTTAGGCCCCCTAACTCAAGAAGATTGGGTGACTCTAGAGTATCTTGTGGTTTTTCTCAAAGAGTTCTATGATTTGACTAAAAATATGTCTGGTTCGTTGTATGTCACGAGTAATACATTTTTCTTCCATATTTGTCATACACTCAATTTGTTAAAGAAATGCCTACTTGATCAAGTTGTTGGTTTACGAAATATGGCTTTTAAGATGAAGTTGAAGTATGACAAATACTGGGGAAACATTGAAAAGATGAACAAGTTAATTTACACGTGTACTATTCTTGATCCTAACTTTAAGTTGATGGGTGTAAAGATTGGGCTTTTGGATACGTATACTGAGGCGGAAGCAACAATTCTATTTGAAAGCGTAAAGAAGTTTGCTTATGAATTGTATGAAGAGTATAAGAGAGTTTATGCTCCTCCCGTTGTAATTGATGAGAGTGGGATTACTAATGAGTCAAGATCATCTTCTTCAATGGTTGGTTTTACTATGTTGATGAATCTTGTTTAAGATCGGGTTAAGTAAATGAGTGGATCCCAACATAATTCAAGGAGCGAGTTTGATCGTTATTTGGATGAGGAAAGGGGAGATGATAAGGAGAAAGACGTTTTGACTTGGTGGAAAATCCACAGTCCAAGGTTCCCGGTGGTTGCACGTATGGCACGTGACATATTAGCTATTCCAGTATCTATTGTAGCATCTGAGTCGGCATTTAGCACCGGAGGTCGTACTCTTGACCAATTCCGAAGTTCCTTGACCCCTAAGGTAAAATATTCTATATACTCTTATTTCATTAAATTAATAATATCTTTGTTTTTGTTGACAAGTATCTTTTTTTGTTTTGATATATATTATATTAATTGCTTATAAAAAGATGATCCAAGCTCTTATTTGTGGTCAAGATTGGATTCGAGCGAATTGGCGAAAGACAAAAGTTGACGTTGAAGAAAATATATTGGAGTTGCACCGACTTGAAAAGGGTAAGTAAAACAGATTTCAGTATTTGATTAGTTAGAATTCAAATAAAAATGTTGAAAGTATGAAATTAAACTAGTTAAAAAAATTATATTGTGGCTTTATGAGAGTTATTATCAAAATGCTAATACTTGTGCTAAATTGCTAATATAGATTTTGTGTGATTATGTAAATGTGGAAGACGCCAATTGGTTTACCGAGGAAGTTGTTTATGTTACTTGAAGATGAAGATTGGGGAACTTTTTTATTATGAACTGTTTGAACTATTTTTATTTTGCAAATGTTGAATGTTTATGTTGAATTCTTTGTGTTGTTGATCATTTAGAACAATTAATGTTGTTATGTTTGTGACTTGGGAGTCCAGAATCTTGTTTAATTTTGCAAAAAGTTTAAGAATGCAGAATGCTTGGGTTGAAGTCAAAATTGCTAATTAAAAACTGCATTTTTTTAACATTACCAGTTTTCTGGTCCGGGTCCGGTTTGTAACCGGATTGAACCGGTCCGGTTCCAGGCAAAATCGGATATATTCCGGACCTGTTTTCGGTTCTACAATTTCTAAAAAATCGGTTCCGGTTCTGGTCCGGTCCGGTTCTGACCCGGTGCACAGCCCTACATCCGGAGGCTGCAAGTACCGAGGGCTAGGCATGATCCGGAGGTTGTATGTGCCGAAGGCCGCACGTAATTTTAGCCTTGGTTCCCAATGATGTTAGTAGACCTGGTGTAACTGTTTCCCGAACATGTAGCCTTCGGGCATGAGGCCGAAGGCAACACTTTGTTGTAGTATGGGATGTCCAGAGTCTTGTTCGTTGTGTTTGGGCCACTTGGGCCTGTTGGGCCTGGCTGCAGTAGTGAAAGTATGTGGGCCGGGGGTTCCTGAGCCACATACTCCATCAGGGCCCATTCTTACGTAGGGCATTTTTAAAAATACGGGAAAAGCTGATGTAAGGTAAAAGAGGGAAATTTTATAGGCTTTTTCGGAATATAAAGGTCTGAAAGAGATATTCTGAACGAAGTGGGGTTTTAAAAAAATAATGTCATTCAGATTTGCGTATTACAAACAACGTTTTTTATAGATCTGAATTCTGATCATTTGGAATAGTGGAATCCAGATGCCTTTTATGTAAAAATAAATTTATTTTTACATAAAAGGCAACTGGATTCCACTATTCCAAATTATCAGAACTATACCATTGCATTGATGCCTCTTTGAGTCCATACAAACGTTTTAGAAGTTTACGGACTCTACTAACTCTAGTATCATTGGATATCAAATAACCTGGAGGTGGAATAAAAGAGAGGGAAATTTTACATGGTTTTTCGGAATATAAAGATCGGAAAGACATATTCGGAATGAAGTGGGGTTTTAAAAAATAGAGTCATTCGGATTTGCTTGGGCCTCAATATTCAATACATAATTAAAAGTAATAACATGTGAATTTTATTTCTTTTTTCAGTCTTGGAAACAGACAAAAACAGGGGAAAATAGAACGGGACCAAAACTAGACCAGATCGCCCGGGTACCAGAACCGGCTGAGACCCGAATTTAACCGGGTCGGACCCAAGGTTCCCCCAACCAATGACTGGGTAGACTGGGACCAAAGTTTCAACCAACAGCTATTTGAAACAAATTTAGGCTTGTACTAAAACGTTTAAATTGTTCAACTACTTTCGAACAATTGTTGGATCTGGTTTCTCTCCGCGTATTCCAAACAACTAGTTTCAACCTCTACTAAATTTGTTTGTTCATGACTTTTATAACTACTTCATGTTATATAACTGCAGGCCTGCAGGAGGCTTCTCATATTTACTTAAAATGTAGTGGGTACCTAACTTCTTTTAAAACGGTATATGCCCAACTAATTTTGTAATCATACTCAAGTACGTCAATACTTCTCTTGAAAGATATGAATATCAGAAGTTAAAAATGGAAGTACTACTGTTCCTAAATAAATAAGGGTTTTGCCATGATATGAATATCACTAAAAAATAGAGATTGGACAAAAAGGTGACTTTTTTCTTTAATTTTCAAAATTATGAATAAAAAGGAATGGACCATTTTACCCTTATTAAACCACCTATCGCTACAGTGACCAACCCTATAATGACTTCCGCTCAGTGACCAATTTTCACAATGACTCCCGTTTAGTTACTAATTCCCACAGTGACTCCCGCCGAGTGACCAGTTCAGCAGTTCCCACAATGACCATGGACAAGGAAAGCAGTTATTGTTACACCCGTCAGTGACCTAATTTTAAACGTTCTCCAGTGCCCCGACTAACCACTACCACCCCCTGACCAGTTATTGCCGCCCAACTAGTCGCTACCACCGCTCGGGCCACTCACTGCCACCACCCCAGCCAGTCACCCCCACCCGTATAGTGAGCTTCTTTTCCACCACTCGCACAGCTCTCCCCTAACCCCACCAACCCTACCCTACCCCAACGAACTGTTACTTTGTGCCCTGACCTCCTACAACCCGCAATCAAACACATCTACAAGGATGCTGTCAGATTTGCACAATCAAAGCCCCAAATCTGCGAATCCGGATAGAAGAAAGTTGGATTTGCACAGTCAAAACCTCAGGTCTACAGATTCCGAGAAAAAGATGTCATCGTAGGCAAGCGATGGATGTCCACAGTGCTCTGAGCTTCTCACTGTTGGTCCGAGCTCCTCTCTGCTGCTGGTGTGCTGTGAGAACGTCGCCAATCTCACCGATGAAGTTTGCCTTCGCCAATTGATGAGCTCGTCCACCGACAACATCAGCTCCTCCAACGATGGCAACACTCCACCACAGATAGAAACAATCCCTCTGAACAGCTTCGACGACGAAGAAACACGAAAGGGAATGGCGGATTGCGGACAAAATAAAGGAGAAGAAAACAGATTTTTTGTGGAGGCCGCAGGTGTGCTTGCAGCGATGAAGGTCAGTGTCTTGTTAAAGGTTGTGGACGTCCGAGCGAAGGGGAAATAGGTGCAAAGGGGCCATCTATGGTCTATGGATGTTAGATGGTTGAAGCCTTGAAGGTCTGGAACTAGGGGTGGATTCGGTTCGGGCCACCCGGCCCGGCCCGGTACTGTGCGGGCCCGGGACCGGCCCAGTCGGACGGTCCGGGACCGGGTGTGGACCCGAACCGGTGGGAATAGGCGGGGCGGGCACGGTGCCGGATAAATGTGACCCGGCCCGGCCGGGTTGGGCCCGGGCCCGGGTCCGATCTGATTTTTTAAAAAAATAAATAAATTGGGCTACTAGCTGTTGGGGGTGGGTTGGGGACAACCCAAACGGCTATATAGCCGTTGGGTGGGGTGCAGGGGGGTCCGGGGGGGTTGGGTGGGGTGGTGGGGGGTGGGGGTAAAAAAATCTATAAATACTCCTAATCTTAAACATTTTTTCATATCTCATTCTCCAATTCTTCCTAAATCTTAATCTTAACTCTCTACTCTCTAATTCTCTTATTCTCCATTCTCCAATATATTATATTTATTATTTATAGTTTATATTAATTATCTACTTATATAAACTATAAATAGATATAAATAGTATTATATTACTTATATTTGTTATCTAATTATATATTACTTATATATTTATTATATCTATTAATATAGTTGGAATTATATCTAATTAATTTGAAGTCATTCTATTACTCCCATCTGAAAGACCGAAAGTCCGAAAGAGGTACGAAATTATTCTATTATTTACACTTGTTTAATTACTAATTAATTTGCTACATTTGACTCTAGTTTAAAAAATATGTTGTACACAAAACTAGTTAATTTACTAGTTAATTTGCTATAACTCGATTTAATAGTTACATAAATAGTTAGTTAGTTTTTTACAATTTTTTATTAATTGCTACATTTGACTCTAGTTTAAAAAATATGTTGTACACAAAACTAGTTAATTCACTAGTTAATTTGCTATAACTCGATTTAATAGTTACATAAATAGTTAATTAGTTTTTTACAATTTTTTATTAATTGCTACATTTGACTCTAGTTTAAAAAATATGTTGTACACAAAACTAGTTAATTCACTAGTTAATTTGCTATAACTCGATTTAATAGTTACATAAATAGTTAATTAGTCAAGGGGGGGATTAGACGTATTTGGGGTAATGGACAACTTAGGAAAAAATGCCATGATTAATTGGAGTTCTTCTTAGATATAAACAACATTTTCCTGCTTTTATGAAACAATATGATAACTATATTATAAACCCGGCTGAGATCGACACCTGTGAAAAAATTTGTAATGCTTTGATATATTTTAATAATGCAACTGAAACTTTTAGTCATGTTTATAAACCTACCTCAAACCAATTTATTCGTGAAGCTGTTAATCTCGCCGGTGCTTTTTCAAATTTTGAGAATGCTGATTATGTGAGTTATTTTGCTAGTTTTATGAAGGAAAAGTTTTTAAAATATTATTCACATATTCCGCATATTTATGGTATTGCATTAGTTCTCGATCCTCGTTTTAGACTTGGTTCTTTAGAAGAATGTTTGAATTATTATTATGCTGCTTTTTATAGTCCATTGCCAATGTATGAGGACAATCCAATTGATCCGAAAAAAGAATACAACGAGGTTAGTGATATATTTTATGCATTATTCAATGAGTTTCATGCACAATATGGCAATGCGCCCCCTCCCCCGACACAAACATCATCTAAAGGAAAATCAATTTTCAAATCTACGTTTGCCAATCTTATTAAAAAAACGAAATCAACTCCCACTACACAACAAAGCACAATTAATGAGATTTCTTTGTATTTAACTTATGATGTTGATTTTGAAGAAGATGATGATTTTGACGTACTAAACTGGTGGAAGGGAAAAGAAAGAATGTTCCCGATTTTAGCAAAGATGGCTAAGCAAGTGCTATCAATGCCGGTTTCAACGGTTGCCGTGGAACAAAAATTTAGTTCGGTCGGCAATGTCCTAACACAAACCAGAACGAGGTTGAGCGCTGAATCTCTTGAGATGCTTATATGCTACCACGATTGGTTGAAAGCAGCCCGTAGAGATCAAGAAATTGACATCACCCATCCCAACACTTCATGGATGAATCTACAACCGAGGGTGGCTCTACCTATGCCGGAGAATCCGATTAAAAACAATTATAGTTCCTATTTAATTTTCAAATGTAGTTCCTATTTCATTTCAAATAAATGCACTTGAAGTTTGTTTTTTAATACTTGTATAAAACTATAAAGTATAAAATATAAATTAAAAAAAAAAATTAACTGGCCCGGCCCGGCCCGGCGGGTGGCCCGACCCGTGACCCGGGCGGGTGGCCCGGCCCGAACCGGACCCATCCAACCCTCGGGCCGGTCCCGGGCCCATGTGATACGAACCAGCGGCCCGACCGGGCCTAGGCCCGGCCCGGACCCGACCCAGCCCGAATCCATCCCTATCTGGAACAGAGACGAAGGAATTAATTGGTTAGTTGTATTAAGTATGGGTGGACTCAAGTCTGGGCCGGGTCCGGGTCGGGCCTAGGCCCAGGCGGGCCGGCGGTTCAGAAATGGTGGACCCAGGACCGACCCGAGTAACCATCGGGTCCGGGCCGGGCCGAGCCGGACCCATTATAATTTATTTTTTTGTTTTCCTCTTCCTAATTAACCCCCCTCCCACCCCCCAAACCACCTCAAATGGCCCAAAATACCCAGCCCAACCCGAAAATTTAAAAAAAAAATGAAAAAAAAATAGATTTTGGCCCGAACCGGGCCCGGGCCCGGCCGGGTCGGGCCTTGTTTTGGGTGACCCGAGTCCGGACTGGAAAACCCACGGGCCGGGCCTACCCAGACCGGTCACTGACCGGGCCACCGGGTCGGGCCGGGCCGGAACAGTACCAGTCCCGGGCCGGTTCCAGGTCGGGCCACCCGGCCCGAGTCCACTCCTAGTATTAAGGATATCCCAGTCCATTTATTAATGTTTAGTCTCTTTTTTGTCCAATTTAAAAGTTAGTCTTTTTTTGTCCACTTAAAAGTGTGGAGTATTATTCTTGTCATTCTTTCAAATAAATATGCAATTTGACTCGAAGGCATTGAAAAAAAGAAACTCTTCACTTGTTACAATTGTGAAGAGTTGCGGGTTAGCACTTAGCACTAAAACTTTCCTGTCATGGCCTTCAGGTATGATTTCATTCAAAGAACTTCATATGTTGTACATATTAACATTAGCCATTAGGGGGTCTCTGTTGCTTTGGACAGTTGGACACAGTGACACACACGACACACAAGTACTCACACTGCAACATGACTGATGACATACACACACACAACAATATGATCGAAATTCCACCATCGACTAAATAAATAGTAGAATGATTACAGACAGAAGAACTTCTTGTTAGAAGAGAGCAAGATTGACCATAAAATGTAATAGGCAAGACAATTTTTCCACAGTTCATCAGACTTTCTACCATTGCCCAAGTGCCCATTGCCTGCTCCTTGTAGTGCAGAGCATATTCCAAAAGCTAAGCCATAATAAACGGCTGATCAGTTTCTGCAGCAGAAACGCTCCAAAACTCTTTTTAATAATTTCATGATAAATAATAAAGGTGATAAAAAAAGGAGATACAGGTGCCTAGTTGGCAGATAAATATAAATTCGTAGCACCATTCCATATTGAATCCCAAAGAAATTTGTTGATTTAATCTGTAACTTCTGGTTGATTTTTGTACTTTGCGGCAGAATTTTTTTTTGAATATGGCAAATTTAGTAGTTATACAAGAGAACCTGCAAGTGAGTAAATTACACGATTAATGAGCACAGACATAAGTCGCAGAACTGAATCAACGAATTTCCCAGAATCACGTGGTTAAACTAGAGAGAAATGGATGGGGGGGAACCATGATAATGATAGGAATAACCTTCACTTGACGTAGACAACAAAGGTCAAATATGGTCACATTGAACAAAGAATGTATGGAAACCATATATGACTCTTGTAGAGATGAAGGAAATGAAGTCATAAAAGCTTATTTGGCCTCATTGTCAACATCCTTCATTTTCATAGTAGGGTCATCCACTATGACCCAACTGTAGAAATGAATAATTTGATGGGACCAAATAAGCCTATTTTGAGTACATAAAATTTTCTTGCCTTGAATGTCTTAGTTGTGTAACCAACAGAAAACAAGAACTCTTCAGAATCAGATGGATGTTTAATGGTTCATCGGTTCCATAGTTGTCATGTCATAAAGGTATTTTTCCATGGCAATGGCTCAATAAATATTTTGAGTACATTTACGGCTTCGCCACATTACAAAAAAGAATACCTAAAAGTATGAACTGTACACTAATTCTATCACTCAACCACCAAAACATGATATATAAAAAAGTTGAATATCAACATGCTAACCAAAGCATGTGAAGTTAAAGTAGTTTAAAGTAGTTCCAAAAAACATACTCCCTAATATTTTAAAAAAGTTCATGTCTTTCAAAATATGTCAATTTGTTTTTGTTTGATGATTATGCCATAATCATCATCAATTATCACACTCCTCCTCATCATCTCCAAGGAGTTTCCTGTTGCGCAGCTATCAGACTCCAGTTTTTATGTTAGTTCAGCAGCTTTCTCTGACTTTACGTTAGTTGCATCTTTCTTTGCTTTTTATTAGGGTTTTAATCAATATAATAGGTAGACATATCAATTTCTTATTAGGGTTTTATTAATATTATGAACTGGCAGATTATTTAAATATTTATCACGGCCAAAGCCCAAAAAAACAAGTATACGTGTTCATCTCTTTAATATCATGGCGCACATGTCATGGCGATGGCGCCAATATCGCCATGCGTATGGTCGCCGCCAGGAGGACTTTTCATGGCGATGAGGGGTTTTGTCGCCACATGGCGCATGGCGCACCATTTCTCGCCATCTACAAATCATTTTTTTATTTAAAAGTACTTGTTAAAACACAAGGTTCAGCAGTCCTGCACTCCTGCTCAAAAGTCAGATTTACTTTTCAAAGAGAACTGAACCAGGCACTTGTAAAGATGTCAAAAAGGCAATATGATCATCTGCACTACTCCATATATATTCTTATGAACACATGTATTCTACATTCATTTATAACAAGAGCTACCAGCTTCTCATATTTAGCTATTCTAAGTACTTAGATTTCAACATATTGCCTATGTTGAATTTAATAGGAAGTGAAAAGGCATGGAAAAACAGAATTATGTGTGTATTAAAATAATAAACTGACAGAAAATATAGAACAAGGGTCTCAAGAGAGAATTCCATGAGTCCCAAAGAAACTCTCCAGCAAAATGCCTTTTCCCATTCAGTAAAGGTGAAAACTTTACTCCAAACTGACGTCTCTAACCTCTCTATGTCCTCTCAAATGAGGGTACTTGTTTATAGCCTAATACAGGAATATAAACTAGGTAAAATATCACCAATTATTCCTAATATCACCCTACTGATGGAGTAATAGAATCATCCATTTAAGCACATCTAAGGTTTGGAATGATTATTTAAGCAAGGCTTTTGGTTTAAAGGTTGATTCTCAAGCTACCTTAAGAGAGGTTTGCCATATGTGGCAGTATCATCATTCTGGTAGCAGGGGGGTCATGCTGCATCTGCAAGACTGCAACTGTCCCATGGATTATGGAAGAATTGATGCAAAGCAGTATGGGAGAAGAAATGGCAGCTTGGCATTATAACTACACCACTAGCAACAAAATGACACCACCCCAATTGTTAACTACAGCAGCACAAACACCGCCCACCCCTGCATTCAACTGGCACGCATCAGGTATTGAATACAACAAAAAAATCACCAAAGCAGCAAAGCTTGGGACCCCCTCTTGTCACCTCACAAAGGACACACTTAATATGTTCTAAAACACAAGTTTAGGTTATTAATGCAGTTAAACTAAACAAAGTAAATGGGTAATATCATATTTACTATGTATAAGAGCTGCTTAAAGTGTTGGTAAGTAGCCACATGACCTCCCAGGTATTATAAGGTTTTTAAGTTTTTCTATATTATTCATATTACTCCTAAGTTCTAACAATAAAAATATTTGATTGATTGATTCCGCTTCATACAACCTCTGCCAGCCTCTGTCCATCACCATCACCATCACCGGCTGCGTCCACCACAATCACTATCAGCTGCCAGCCTGCCACTGACATCTTTACAGACCATTTGGCAATATTAGTGGCTGGCAGTAGCCTATTGGTTGCCACCGCCACTATTGTTGCCCATCTCCATCACTGGCTGCAGTTGGCCACCACAGTTAAAATGCCACTGCTGCTTTACGCCCTATGATGCATTGATACTTTATTGAGGTGTTGTATCCATGTATATGATCGTATCTGATACTGATACTCATCCATGCGTATATTTAGTGACTTTGAGTGTTGGTGTTGTACATGTGATTTTGTAAAAGTAAAAAAGCTGTTTATAAAAAAGAAAAACTTTTGACATGCTCATATATATATTCCTTAATCAATGACATATTTAAGTCAACCATCTACAGCAACATTATTGACCACACTCAGCACTCACATATTCAGTCAATCAATGAAATATGTCTCTTATATCCAAATAGTAATTACTGTTGAATGAGATATAAACTTTGAAATTTCATCATCTTAAGAAATTTTGGTACTATTGTTATTGTATTTATGAATGTTTGAAATAATATTTAATAGGGAAACTGTCAAATAGGCCCCGTACTATGTCAAAAAAGTCAATTAGACCCCATACTATGTCAAAACACCCAATTAGGCCTTCGAACTATAAAAAAACGCCCAATTGAGTGATTTAGCAAGTAACCAACCGCTTTCCCTGTAAACTTGATCTGTGGCGGCTAGTGTGGCTATTATCTTCTTTGTTTCCTTTTTCTTTTTTTCCTTCTTTCTTTCTTTTTCCCGTTCACTTTCTTCCTCGCAGGGATCTGGTCACTCCAAACCATTGGGTTTCTTCCTCGCCTGCAGCTTTCCAACCATTTCATTCCCAACCAGCTTCAGAATAAGGAGGTTTTCCTTAGATCACCATATGTATTTCCACCCCAATTTCTTCTTACCATGTCTTCCCCTAAACTTAGAGCACCTTTAGACAAATGATATAAGAACAAATCGAGATGGCACAGAGGTATACAGATCTGCAATTCCCAATCAGACATCGTCTGGAAAATGAAGCTTGGAAGTCCGGATTGAATTCACGATTCCAACATCAATGGCGACCAACGGTTTTCTACAGCTCTAAATTGCATCTGTGAGGGTACGGCCTTCGTGACAACTTAGAGGGGAGGGCAAGGCACTTCTGATGGGGCCAGCTGGATGGGACAGCTGTTGGCTCACAGTACTTCAGAGACTCTCGATGGCAGTCGGCGGATGACAGAGATTGGACATGGTGAGGGTACTCAGGCAGAGATAGCGTCGGCGATGGGGCAAGAGAGGAGTGGACTATAGCTGGTCAGCCACGGCGGTGCATCCATCTGGTCAGCACGAATCTGAACTCCCGCTGCAGGACTATGAAAATGAACGCCAAGAGAGAGAGAGAAAGGAAAAGAAAAAAGAAAAATAATAGCCATGTGGGTCATCACGTGTGCACTTAACCAGGAAACCGACTGTTTGCCCACAAACGGGACGAACATTTTTTGTAAATCATTAGGAGAGAGGATGCCTTAAGAACAAAAAGACAAAGAGGCCATGAAAAATGGAGGAATTACAAAAATAAGAAGCCATCTGTATCAGCTCTGGTGTTTGCTTTATTATTCCAGTAAATTACGACATGGATTTTTAAGTTGAATACTCAAACGGCAAAGAAGATGCCATCAAATATGTCCATCTGAATCAGCTATGATGTTTTCGTTTATTATTCAGTAAATTACGACATGGATTTTTAATTTGAATAATCAAAAGGAAAGAACTTTTCTTTTCTTTTTGGTTCCAATATCATGGACTGATTCATGTTAGGCGACCCAAAAGGCAAAGAAGATGCCATCAAAATATGTCCATCTGAATCAGATCTGATGCTTCATGTTTGCCTTTATTAAGTTCATCAGTACAATGCAACATGAATGTTTAATTTGAATAATCAAAAGGAAAAGAGGATAACAACAAAGTATGTACTGCAACCAAACGGACTTAAAATGTACATATTATTGTAGCAAGAACAACATGACTACTGCAGTAGGAAATTAATATAATCAAGTCTCCATCTGAAACAATATGTGATAAAGAAACTCAATGGCAAATGCCGATGCTATGCTGAAGGTAAACAGTACCTCTTATTAGGTAGAAAGGGCCTTGCAAGTAAAGCCTTCATGCACAAGTTGATTAATTACATCCCTCAGCTTGAAGTAATCAGCAACTGTATTGTAAATTTGATGAGAAATTCGGGCATATCCTGTAACACAACCAATCTCATCAGTGTTTCCATTTGACTCCCCATCTTCTGATCCCTGATAATGAATCGGGACTTCCACCATAAAACGATTTCTCAAAAGTGTTCTCAAATTTAAAGCATCGTCTGCAGTCAGAATTCCCAAGCATGCAGGCAAGCCAACCATAGCCATGCTAGGACACATGTCTGGAGGTGACCCAAGACTTGTTCCCCAATTCTTGGCTAACATTCCTCCCATTTCAACAACAGAATTATGATTCCTCATCCTAATTCCCTCAATTCCACCCTCAAACCTATTAACAAAATCTAACACCTCAGGTATAACTAGCTGTGAGCTATAGTCTCGTGTTCCAATCCATGCACTCTCTATGGCCAGTCCATTTCCATATTCATGTGAGACCACTGGATGATGTAACTCAGAGACCATGGCTGACTTTTTACAGTACAAAACGGCCACTGAAGGTGGGCAAAAGAACCATTTGTGCAAATTACTGACATAAAAGTCTGCCCCAATTTCTTTAACGTTCACATCAACACTGCCTAATGCATGAGCAGCATCAACAAATACCTGTTCCACGCCTTCTTCTCTGCAGATTCTAACTAGGCTGTTTACTGGAATGATGACAGCTGGCATTGAAGTAATGTGATCAATTATAGCCAACCTAATTTTCCTACCATTGACTTTGCCCTTAGCCAAGGCATCACGAAACTTAGCAATTATTTCTTCATTGGAACTAACAGGAAATGGAAGATGAACTACTATAACAGAACCTCCTGCACGAGTCACATATGCCTCAATTGATTTCTTAACGGCTTGAAACGCACAGTGAAGCATCACAACGGCGTCTCCTTTCTGGAAGCGGCCCTCAGCAAAGGCCCATCCGACGTGTTGGAGGACAATTGCAGCCCCGGTTGTGGCATTATCTACAAGAGATACCTCGTCAACGTGGTCAGCATTTATGAGAGTCTTGATTAGGTTACGCGAATGGAGGATACGCTTCTGAAGGTGGTTGAAGAAGAAGTCATCTGGTTGTTCGAGGAAGCGGAGCTGCCACCGTTTTTGGGCGGCAATGATGGAGGCAGGGCAGCTCCCAAAGCTGCCGTTGTTAATTCGAACGATGCCTTGTTGATGGTGGGCGAATTCTTGAAGGATTTCAGATTTAGAAATGAAAGTACGGGGCGCAGATAGCTTTGGTTTCTTGAACAAATGGCTACCATCTTCGTGGTGGTTGTGATCATCGCCGTTGGTTCTGCGATCATCACGAGGACCATCCATGGCGAAAGGCAAATCCTATCTGGTTGGTGTTAGGGTTTAGTTTAGTTTAAAGATTGTTGTTTTATTCTCTCGGCCCCACTCTGTTTTTTCCATCCGTTAAGACCATTTGCATTAGTTAATTGCCGCTTACCTTATAAGCATTTTCATTCATTAGGGGGTGTAATCTTTCAAAATAAAAAATCATTAAGGGGTGTAAAAAAGGGGGAAATTCAATATTACCTAAAAAGTGAGATGCAAAGCAAAATTCTTCCTAAAAGTTAGATGAGTAATCATACCTTTTTAATGTTTAGGAAGAGTCTAATAGGAAATTAATAGGGAAACTTTGTAATGAATTGGGAAATATGTGGGTTGTTTCTTAACAAATTTTGCCTAGTAACGTGGTTTTTCTTTACAGAGTAATCATAGCTGTGAAATAGGGAAAGCTATGGTAGAAGCAGCTCAGGGAAATTTTTATGACTTTTGATGCACATGATTAATTATGTATTTCATCCAAAAATATTTGATTGATATTGCGAAGTGTGTTTTGTCAAGATGAAATCTTAGACATGAAAGTTAAATTTGAGGATTTTTTATTTGTGTCAAAATAAAGGTTGCAAATTCTTCAAATGGGAAGGTGAAATTGAGGCAAAATCATGTCTTGAAGATGAAGATGTGAACATTGTTCAAAAGCCACAAATCCAAATTGAGCTAGAACTTCAGAATAGGTTGTTGGAAGAAAAGTTTAAGAAGTTGCAAGTGAAAAAAAAAGTGCAACAGATGAAAATTGAAGTTGAAGAAATGCAGATGGAATACTTCAAGTGTTTAGGGAATGAGAAGAAATATCGCATTTGTCTAATGTTGTCATGGCTTTTTTCTTGTATAATTGTTCTTCAAATGAATATTGTTGTAGTTGGTTTAGTACCCTCATGTATGTATAATATATTGGTCTAGACTTATCGATACGTGTTTGAGTATTGGTGTGAGTTAAGAATGTATGTGTTCCCAAATTTGTTGTGTATTGATAGGTCTTGACATACATTTAATTGCAATTACCCTCACGTCCAACAACTGATTTTGGACATTCTCTACCATTGGGTCCCATGGTGAGCTCCTGTCTCGGCCACCTTTGGTTGAGGTCATTGCTTTTGATCCTTTACTTTCCTATGTAAAGCTTATTGGCTTATTGCAGATTTTAGGGACTTTTGTACAGTTGTTGGTGCATATTACTTGTATATTGCTGCTATAAGAATTTTGAGACTTTTATAATAGCAAGTGAACTGTATACGGCTGCCAAGTTAATATTTCAAATACTATTAAAGAGAAGAGATATATTGTTGTTGGTCAACTGATATACTGTTGCCAAGTTAGTATAAAACAAGTTAATACATTTCAAATACTATTAAAGAGAAGAGATATATTGCTGCTGCCTGCTGATGAACTGATATACTGCTGCCAAATTAGAATACCACAACTACTAGTTCAATGTTTACTTAATATATCAGATTATTAAAGACTTAAATAAAGACAACAACATATATTGATAACCACAAGTGATGAATTCATAAACTAGCCAAACAATACTGATGGAGTATATGGGCCTGGACCCCAGGGCCCACATACTCGGAAGAACAGAAGGTACCACGACCACCTGGTGAGACCCTCGTCGGTCAGATGACCCCATCGGACAGAAAGAAGTCTACTCAGAATGTGATCCAGAGGCCGGGAAGAGCCGGGTGACCTCGTCGGTCGGGTCTTCGTCGGCCATAGACAGCCTCCAGAACAGGATTTACACTTAATCTTTTCTATGCACTTTGTATCCGGTCCATTAGTGGCCCTATTGTAAATGGGCCTCCCAAGCCCAAGACTTGGGAGCCCAACCCTAATTTTTCCTATAAATACTCCCTATGGGAGTAGTTGTAAGGGTTGAGAAATCATTAATACAAAGCAACTATAGCACTTCTCTCTCTAGCTCTCACTTCTCTCTAGATATATAATCTATCATTTGGTGCTCTCGTTGAGAGCTAGAACAATCAAGTTAGCCTCCTTCGTCGCTACCAAGCACAGCTAACTGACAATGGGAAAAACTAATTCCAACCGCAACCTCCTCGGCAAGGCCATCCCTGAGGCCCAAGAGAACCAAGAACGCGAGGAGGACGCTACGGCCGACAAGGCCGCCGGGGGGGATGTCTTCCAGGAAGCCATCGACCTCACGGCTGACCTGCGCAACAAGCTCAACGGTGGCGCCCAAGATGTCCGCATCGGCTTGGACAAGAAGCGCGTAGAAAAAGGCGACAACGTCTCCGGGCAACCGGCCTCTCCTGCCGTTGACCCCCAGCTCCAGGCCGCACTCTCGGCCATCATCGTTAGCCTGGCCCAGAACCCCACCGTCCTCAGTGCACTCATGCCAAGGACTGGGGAGAACACTACACCGCCCCCTCAGCTCTAGCCGTTGGTCGTCAAACTACGCAACGACGAAGAGGTGGTGGCCCAGGACACTTCGTCATCCCACTCTCACCCCGATTCCCCTCTTCAAGCTGGACCGGCCCCAGCGTGTGGAAAAGCCTCGGTGTTTAATAGGCTAGGTGACACGCACCGTCGGCCTGCTTCGGAGAGGATGGCGGGACGGATTGATGAACGTGAGCCTGGCTCACCCAGGGAAAGCTTGGGGTCCGTATCCCGGACAGCGGATCGGACCCGCCTGGACAAAGGCAAGGGGAAACTGCATGAGGGTGATGCTCGTCACCAAATTAACACGGCTCATGCAGCCTGCTTGCAGACGCAGGGCACCACCACGGCCGCCAGGGACCCCCGAGATGAGGTAATCGCCCAGCTCGAGCGAAGGCTCGCCCAGATGGAGGCCAAATAGCTGGCCGCCACCCCCGCAGGCAACTCATCCAGAGATCCCGGCTTCAACGCCCTTCTAAACAAGGTCACCATCCTTGAGAGGGAGTTCGCCGAAAAACGAGGAGATCCCATCATCCAGGTTAGGACGAGGACTCCCTTCACCGCAAGGGTACTCTCGGCCCCCATCCCCAAGAAATACCGGGGGAATGCCATCAAGCCCTATGACGGCTGCTCCGACCCCCAGGAGCACTTCAGCCGCTACCAGAACAATATGCTGATGGTGAACGCGTCAGATGAATACCTATGCCGTTGGTTCCTTTCTACTCTTGAAGGGCCAGCGTACGAGTGGTTCAACGCGCTCCCCGAAGGGAGCATAGACTCATGGCAAGACATCGCCCAACGCTTCCTCACTCATTTTGCCGGAAGGAAGCGCGCGAAGAGGTATTTCACCCATATTCTCTCCGCCAAACAGCAGCATGACGAGTCACTCCGGTCATTCATCGACCGGTGGACGAGGGAGACAGATGAGGTCGAAGGGGCTGATGAGCGCACCCTCCTAAGCCTATTTCAGGGAGCCCTCCGCATCACCCCATATGCGAGGAGCCTCATCACTGACCCACCGAGGTCATATTTGAAGGCGCTTCAGCAAGGAAACTTGTACGCTGACGCCGACGAGCTCCACAGCCACAAGAAAGACGGAGGTCACCCCTCCAAGAAGACAAACGTCGCGCCAGCTGCGGGCGCACCCTCTGCCGGGGACCGAGGTCAGGGAGGACAAGGCCGCCATGGATCTAGCGGAAAGAACACAGACCGCGTGTGGCGGCCGAGGATGGAAAGGCCGAAGATCCCACTCACCCATTCGGTCAGCTCCATCCTCGATTACCCCGAGGAGCACGATCTCATTGAATGGGATCCTCGGTCGGCCAAGGAGATCTACGGCGTCCACCAGGGCGGCACCTACTGCCGTTTTTACAGGAACACCTCCCACAACACAGATGATTGCGTCACGCTGAAGCGAGCCATCGAGAAGCTGATTCGCCAGGGGGAACTCTCCCAGTTTGTTAAAGGTGGCCCACGCAAGAATACGTGGGTAAACACCGGCAAGCCTGGGGGCGAACCGTCTACGAAAAAGCGTGAGATCGGCAGGCTCAGCGATGACGAGGAAGACTTTGAAGAGACCCACCCGAAGAGGAACCACATTAACCTCATCGTGGAGGGTAATACGGGGGGGGGGGGGGGGGGGGAACTCGGCCACCCAAAGGAAGAAGTGGGCCCAATCCCTCTACATTGGGGATGTATCCCACGCTCCCCCCATCTGAAGAAGCAGCGGACGGAGGCGATCACCTTCACCGACAAGGATCTGCCTCCGGGACCCGAGTCACACAGGGATGCCCTCGTCATTCGGTGCGAGATAGGTGACTCAATCATCCACCACACCTACATCGATACGGGGAGCTCCGTTAACGTCATGTACCTTGACACCTTCAGACAGCTAAAGCTGGACAAAGCGCTGCTAAAGCCGATAAAGACACTGTTGTCCGGCTTCACCGGGGACTCTATCGATGCCGAAGGCATGATAGTCCTTCCCGTGGAGGTCGGCGATGGTGCCCATCGCACCAAGATCGACATGGAATTCATGGTGGTCAACCTCGAGTGCGCCCACAACTTGATATGGGGGCGGCCAGCACTAGAGGATTTGGAAGCCATCATCTCTATGAAACATCTATGCCTGAAGTTCCCTACCAGCGGCGGTATCGGTTACGCACGGGGGAACCAGAACATAGCCCGGGCATGCTACCTGAAGCTGACATAGCCGGCAGCTAGCACCGGGCAGAGAATAGACACCATCACCGCCGCCGCCGCCAAAGACGAAGAGAGGCCGCACGCCGAGCCAGCCGAAGAGATCGAGGAGGTCCCCCTGGATACCTCCCGACCAGAGCGAGTCCTGAAAATTGGGAGACAACTCCCACAGGGTCAACGCGACAACATCCTCAACGTCCTGCGGTCATATGCAATCATCTTTGCGTGGGGGCCAGACGATATGCCTGGCACCATCCGAAAAGTGATTACTCATCGGCTGTCAGACGATCCCGCCTCCACGCCGATCAAGCAAAAGTGGCGCTACCTCTCGGCCGACAGACGTGACTTCGTCAAGGGAGAGGTTACCATGCTCCTCTCAATAGCAGAATTCGAAGGCACTTTCCAACGGCCGTGAATCTAACGGGAGATTCCTTCAATGGCAAGAAGACCTCAACGGAAAAGCTACA